AGGCCAACAAGCAGGTTTCGCCTGAGGGCGATGAGGGAGGCCCTCGGTGGCGCCCGGCTTGACCTCGACTTCGGCCCCTGGTTGCCCTTGTGCTAGTGCCCCCCCAGAAGTCCCAGGGTCCTTCGGCAGTTCGGTCTGGAGATTCCTTCGTGATTTCCGTGCTCCAGCCGGGTCGGCGGATCAGGTCAGGTCACCCGCTCGCGACTAGCAGTCGCATAGCATAGCATAAGGCCGCGTGCCCATCGCCGAGTAGCCACCACATCCACGCATGTCATACCGCAGGTTTGGCAAGGCAACGCTATGCAGTGCCATGGTGAGCAATGCTATGTACGCCTGGCGATGAGCCGTGGCGCCGCGGCACGCGTTGCTTCGCATCGCCTAGCATCGCAGAGAACTGTGCTGCGCGCTCATGACTATGCCGCTGCTCTGCGTTGCATTGCACGCCCCAGGCCAATGCAAACAAGCAAACGTTTTCTCTTCTGGGCAGATTGTGGCGGGGGCGGCGCGGGGACAAGGGCAGTCGGGGCACCTCGTCGGGTAAGCTCGGGCGCGTCGCCTCCCGAGGCGGGGCGGCGGGCGCCCCCACGCCGCCCTCCGAGAACAAGAAGAGGAAGTGGGGCGTGGTCGACTGCGACGACGACGCCGGCAAGCGCGGGTCCTCGGGTCGCGGCTCCACCCGCGCGGGCGTGAAGAACACGGGTGGGCAGACGAGGTGGGCAGGGGCGACATCCAGAAAGCCCTTCTCCCTCGTCGTCCGCAGTCTCGCCCCCATGCGTCTCGGCCCCCTTCCGCCCTCCCGCTCGCCCGCCCTCTCGACCTCATTATCCTCTCTTGCTCGTCCTCATCTTCAGATGTATTCGGCCTGCTCGCCTTGCTAGCCCCCCTCCTCGTCTTGATGATCATTGCCCTCCTCGTTCCCCCGTATCTTTGCCCGCCTCATCCCCCCCTTTCTCCTCGAGTCCTTCGTCGCTTCCGCCTGCCCCCTAGGCCCCAGACGCTTTCGTCGTCCTCACCTTTGCTTTCCATTCGCTTGAAAGCGATGGTGCAGTCCCGTCGGGCAGACTTGGCCCTCGGCCCCATCGGAACTCCAGGGCTTTGCAGGAGGGGGCTCCAGCGGGGCTCCTCTGGGATTCTCTCGGAACTCGTGGGACCCCTCGGGGCAGGGCGAGGGCGTGGGGGTAGGACCTTATGGGTCCGCACTTCGTTGTTGGGCGGATGAGGAAGCCGCCCCCCGCATTCTTGGCCCCGCCCAGGCAGAGCGGCCGCTCGTCGGGGCACAAGCAGGCGGCGCGCAGTGGTGGCAAAGCCACGAAGACGCCCGGGGAGGCGCCGAGTGAGCCCGGGAAAGCTGGGCGGAAGTCGGAGTCCTGCGAGGAGATGTTGAAGCGCGAGGTTCCAGCTTTCAGAGGGGCGACCCCCACCAAGACGAACTTCTTCAACGACAAATGGAGCGTTCTCCAGCGCTGCGTCAAGCGCTGGATTACGAAGGCAGACAAGGCGAGTAAGGAGGGGGAGGGCGATTCCGCGGTGAAGGCCAAGTACATTTTCGAGGTCATGGATACTTGTGGGCAGATGCATGCCACCCTGAAGAAGGGCCCCCAGGACGCCAAGGCCTTCCAGCAGTGGGTGGAGTCGTGGAATCGCCTCATGACTTGGATTGATGGGTTGCCCTCCGTCCACGGCGTCTCGGTGGATTGCCCCTACATCTGGGCCGTCCATTACGACGTCTTGTCAGAGGTGGATGATTACCCCGCCTTCCCCGCAGAGCTCTCCAAATTCAAACTCCATGCCCGAGGCCTCATCGAGGACATCAATGCCCCGAGCGCTTTCCAGCGCGACCGCGTCACCGACATGATCGCGAGCCGCTTGCAGAAGACCCCCGTGGCCACAAAGGATCTCATCGACGGGTTGAAGACCAGGATTGCGCCATTCCTCGCCGAGGAAGCCAAGGCCTTCATCGACGAGACTGTGATCGACGAGCTCGCGGTTTTCAGCATGCTCTTGAAGACGGAGTTCGCCAACAAGGACGACATCGAGACTATGACGAACAAATTGGATGCCCTCCGCCCTCAAGAACAGGAACACCATGAGAGGTACGAGTCCGCTGTCAAGGGCACCCTGTTGGACACGTTGGTCAAGTTCAAGGTCGCCGGCAAGCTGGTCCAGGATCACGCGAGGGCCGCCGTCGGGGCGAGCCTCGCCAGCCTCGAGACGTCGACCCAGGCCGCCGAGGCAAGTAAAGCCATCCAGGCAGTCCTGGCGCTGCCGGAGCCGACTCTGCGTGACTTCCACGTGGTCATGGAGAAGTCCGAGTGGGCCAGCAAGCAGGATGTGATCCAGGGGGATGGCGGGCTGGAGCGCCAGCTCGAGCTGACCGTGGAGTTGGACCGCGCGTCTCAGGCGCTGGCGGCCCGCTCGATTGGGGCATGGGCAAGTTTGTTCTCCGACGGTGAGTGCTGGTTCAAGCCGCTCTCGGAAGGCGCTCTTGACGTCGGGAGGATGCTGGATATGTCGTGCAAGCTCCTGGAGAAGCACGGTGCCAGCGACGGCCGCGGCTCCTCTGGGCCCGTCGACCTGGAGGCGGCCCAGTTCTGCTCCAACTGGTTCGCGCGCGCCGAGTTGATCCAGAAGGCGGTTGACCCTTCCGCTCTGTCTGCAGACGAGGCCGTGGCCCTCCTCAAGCTGGGGAAGTTCGGGCCTGTCCGGCAGTGGCGCGAGAAGTACGCCATGGGAGAGTCCGCCGAGAGCGTCCACCCCTGCATCGCCTGGGCACTCGCCGCCCTGGGCGCTGGCTTCAAGAGTATCGAGGACCTCGCGTCTCGCCCCCTCCCTCTCTGTGTTCACTCTTCTCAAGTGTAGCTCATATGTCCTATATATCCTTCTCTCTCCTCCTTCCCCTCTCTCTCTCTCTCTCTCTTTCTCTTTCTCTCCCTCTCTCCTCTGTCTCTGTCTCTGTCTCTGTCTCTGTCTCTGTCTCTGTCTCTGTCTCTGTCTCTGTCTCTGTCTCTGTCTGTCTGTCTGTCTGTCTGTCTGTCTGTCTGTCTGTCTGTCTGTCTGTCTGTCTGTCTGTCTGTCTGTCTCTCTCTCTCTCTCTCTCTCTCTCTCTCTCTCTTTCTCTCTCTCTCTCTCTCTACTCCCCCTCTCTCTCTCTCTCTCTCTCCTCCACGCTGGTCCCTGCCCCTTGCGCAGCGTAGTTAAATTGTTCTCGTTTCGCGTATCCCCGCCAGCCCATCCAAAAACAGTCGCCAGGCGAGTTGATCCGATCAGGAATGTGTAGCAGCATCTGGCCCAGCAGTGAGCCGCATCCGCCGTTGAGGATCAGTCGATGCGAAGAGGAGAGGGAGCATTCAGAAAATGGGTGGGATGGACGAGAGGAGCAGGTGAGAGGGACGAAGAGGAAGAATATGATGATGAGGAGGAGGAGGAGGAGGAATCGGAGCACGAGCAGGAGGGGGAACACGAGCAGGAGGAGGAGGGGTGAGGAATAAGCGCGCGACGACGAGGACAAAACGCACGACGGCGACGACGACGACGACGACGACAACGACGACGACAACAGTCAAGCACCAAGATCATTGCAGATCCTTCGCTCTGAGGGCGTCACGCCTTGGAGGCCTTTTGGAGCCATCGCGGGGCCCTCTTGGGGCCATCTTGGAGCCTTCTAGAGCCTTCTTGGTGCTCTCTTGGGGCCCTCTTGGGCTCTTGGGGCGCTCCTGGGGCCCTCTTGGAGGCCCTCCTAGGGCCATCCTGGAGGCTTCCTGGCCCCTCCTGGGGCTCTCTTGGGACCCTCCTGGGGCTCTCTGGGGGTTCTTTTGGAGGCCTTGAGGGCCCATCGATCAAAGAAGGGGGGGGGTACCTTAAGTCAGTGCCCCCGTCGGGGCCCTAAAATGAACCTCTTGGGGCCTTCTTTGGCCACTCTTGGGGCGCTCCTGGGCGCTCTTGGGGCCGTCTTGGGGCCCTCCCGGGCCCCTCTTGGGGCCCTCTTGGGCCATCTTGGAGCCATCTTGAGGCCTCAAGAGCCCATCGGACGCGAAACGGCGAGAATGCAAAAAACATAGAAAAACACAAAGGATTTGAAGGATTTTGGCCCCTTGGGTGCCTCCTTGAAGGGCTCGAAAGGCACTTGGAGCCGTCCTGAGGCGGTCTCGAGAGCTCTTGGATGCATGCTGATAGCTATCTTGAACCATATTGGGCTATATTGCACGATCTTGGGGGCCATCTTGGGCTCTTTGAGGCCCTCTTGGAGCCATCTTGGGCCATCTTGGGCGCCCCTATTCCTCGCGGCCCGCTCCCTCCAGGCCCAGGGGGAGGGGGGAGGGGGAAGGGGGGCCCCCCTCCCCGAAGGGGGCGAAGGGGGTTTAGCAGAACGAGCTCTTTAGACCACTCACGCCCTAAAGGGCTGGTGGGATTCAGAGAGCGCGACGTATCGGGCCTCTTGTCTTTCCCGACACCTCAGGGCCTCGATGTGGACCCGGGAGGGGCGTGCACTCGAAATCGCACGCGGTCTCTTGTGGAGCCCCCGCAGGGTTTCAGGCATCAGGGATCTGCAGGGCCCCTCGGGGCCAGGGCGCACAGGCCGAGGGCGCGATGCCACCCCGCTCATGCGGGTCAATCCGCGCTGCGATTGGCCAGCGTGTCAAGGCCCAACGGGGGGGTAGCTTAGAGAGAGACTTACACTTAACCACAAATAGAGAGAGAGAGAGAGAGAGAGAGAGAGAGAGAGAGAGAGAGAGAGAGAGAGAGAGAGGAGAGAGAGAGAGAGAGAGAGAGAGAGAGAGAGAGAGAGAGGAGAGAGAGAGAGAGAGAGAGAGAGAGAGAGAGAGAGAGAGAGAGAGTTAGAGAGAGAGAGAGAGAGAGAGAGAGAGAGAGAGAGAGAGAGAGAGAGAGAGAGAGAGAGAGGGGGGGGGACGGAGAGAGAAAGAGGGGGAGAGGTATTCTGACATAGAAGAGAGGCCTGTAGGATTTGAGGGCGCCCGAGAGTCCGCTGCCGCGCCCCCCAGGACGCGTTCGCCTCCAAGCTGGGCGGGCTCGAGGGGATCTTGACGCGGCAGGTGTCCGAGGATCGCGTTGAGATCGAGAAGGCGTTCAAGGAATGCCGCGCATATGTTCAGGACGGCATTTCAGGTAACATGTTCGTGTCGGCCGCCTCCGCCGTCCGCGATGGCATCGCCAGTCTGGACATCGATGCGCGCTTGGAGAAGCTCGCCGGGGCGTCCGAGGCCTCCGACGTCGAGACCATGCGAGTTGAATACATGAAGCGCTACATCAACATCGCCAGGGCCGGGTGCAAGGTCGGAAGTCTCGGCGTGGACATCCCGGACGACTTCAGCGCTCACGGCCACCTGTCTGACGAGATGCGAGCGTTCTCGCTGTTCCTGAAGACCGCGGTCCGGGAGAAATGGAACGTCCTCGAGGGCCCGAGCTTCCCCGTCCAGATTCAGGATGGCCAGAACATGCTGACGTGGGCTGGCCAGGCTGCGGCCCGCCTCCAACGCCTTGCAGTCTTGACCCGATTGCGACCCGCGAGCCGACTCAACGCCTGCCACCTGTCGGGGCGTAGGGTCGGGAGGGGGGAACGGGGGAGGGTGGGCAGGAGGAGGGGCAGTAGGCTGTATAGGGGGTGTTGGAAGGGGGTTGGATGGGGTCAACACAAGGAACCCGCCTCCTTCCCCTGCCCTTCCCCCCATCGTGAGTGAGGCAGGCCTTGAGGTAGCCGCGGCCGCTATCGTGGATTTCGCGAGGCGTTGTTGGCCCTGCCCAGGTTGTGAAGCAGTCGGGGTTGCATTACGCCGATGTCTTGAACAAGCTTGCCGATAAGCTCACCGGGATGATCCCCGATAAGCAGCAAGTGAATGATGCGAATATGCTCAGAAACGCGGCGCTGCAGAAGCTTCTCTTTGCGAGCCCCCATCGAAATGCCCTCAACCCCGAGACGCAGGCCGCGTCAGACACACTCCAGAAGATCAAGAAGGCGCAGGCGGGCGGATACAAGATTGGCAAGGAGCTCAAGGAGGCCTTCAAGCGAGCCAATGAGGCGCGGGCCGACATGAAGGTCGTGATCATGCTGGACTGGGTCCTCGATCACATCCTCCACGATAAGAAGGATACGGCCGAGGGGCTCAAGGCGCAGGCTCTGGCCATGAGGGACATGCTCACCCGCACGAACGTCGAGCTGCCCAAGTACATGACTGATCTCCTGGACACGATGGAAGGCAAGGCGCCGGCGGCATAGATGGAGGCCAGCTGGGTTTGCTTTTTAGCTCTTGGTTTTTAGTTTAGAAGCCGCAGCACTTTGTGACTTTGTGCATTGTACGTTTTTATCGCGAGGCAGCTGGTGGAGGCGATGGGGCGAGCAGGAGTGGCAGCGACGGGCGGAAGGGGAGATGGAGGGGGAGGCGGTGGGAGGCATCTTAGCAGGAGGTATCGGTCGCGTGGCCGGCTGCCGCGCTTGCGAGTTTGCGTTTCGCCAGCTTCGCACTTGCTCGCGAAAGCCTTTGACGTGCCAGTGCAGCGTGTTCCCAGAGTCGTGAGTGCGAAGGTTTCGATGGCCTTTTGAGTTCGAGGTTATCTTTAAGTTATGCGCGTTTTCGCTGCCAGGGCTGGAGGTTCTGGGGGACTTGGGAATGGGGTCCCTAGTCGAGCTTCCTGCGGCGATGCGGTCTGGAGGGTGCTGGGGGGGCTCCTCCGGCGTCGCGCTGCAGGCGTGCTTTCCGCCCCTTTGCAGCCGGCCCGCCTGTCGAGGGGTCAGCGTGGAAGATGCTTCGATCCCCACGGGCGGCCGAGGTCGCGCCGTAGCCTGACGCGGTGATTCATTAACGTGCAGACTCGATGAGGGGGTGAGAAGGGGAAGGGGGTGAAGCGGTGAGAGAGGGAAGGCAGGGGGTGAGAAGGGGAGGGGGGTCAATCAGAAGGAGGGGCGGCAGGGGAAGGGAGGGGAGCAGACAATGGAAACATTCGAAAATCAGCGTCGGGGTTCGGAGTCGGCCTTGAAAGAGAGGTCTAGGATCCAGGGTGCTGCAGGGCAGCGGTTTCAGGCGCTCAGGGCCGCCTCCGCCCCGCCTGGCCGCTAATCGTCCACTGGCCGCCCGTCCGCTCCCCCTCTCCCCCTCGTTCCTCCTCCTTCCCTTCTTCTCTGCCTCTCCGCCCCTGTTCCCCTTTCTCCTCTTTGATCCCTCCCTTCCACGCCTCCTTCTCCCGTTTCGTTTCGTGCGCCAGCTGCCCATTGTTACCCCGTCCCTCCCTGCCCCACCCCCGCCCATTCCCTTTCCTCCTCCCCCTCCCGCCCCCCTCCCCATCCCCTACATTACAGATATCAAGAATGGTTGGAAGCGTTAGACGAGTCAGGAACTGTGAAAGTGAGTTATACCTTGCAGTTATACAGTTTATTGAATCGGACGCGTCATCTGAGGGACCATCATCACCGCACTTGTGAACGCGTCGGGAAGTCAAACGGCCGAGCTGAGTGTGAAGGAGCTTGACTAGCTCGTGCATGTGAGGTGGGCCAGTTACCATTTGTTTTACGCAATGGTGTCGGGAAGCATTCTTGGTCATATTGATGGTTTGGGATCGTTGTTTCTTCGAATTAATGGATTAATGGTTTTGGCATTCTTGGCATTAGTGGCGGGCCTCCGCCGACCTGGGGCACGGGACTGGGCAGATCATCATCCTCATCATCATCATCACCATCATCATCATCATCGTCATCACCCACCATCATCGTCATCATCACCATCATCGTCACACCTCTCACACGTTTCGTGGCCCCATAGGGAGCTCCACCGAAAACCCAGTGCTGCCGCCCGCATGCGTCAGCCACACCCAATTCGGCATACCCCTCACACGTTTGCGTCAGCCACACCCAATTCGGCACACCCCTCACACGTTTCGTGGCCCCATAGGGAGCTCCACCGAAGGCCCCAGTGCTGCCGCCCGCATGCGTCAGCCACACCAATTCGCACACCCCTCACACGTTTCGTGGCCCCATAGGGAGCTCCACCGAAGGCCCCAGTGCTGCCGCCCGCATGCGTCAGCCACACCCAATTCGGCACACCCCTCACACGTTTCGTGGCCCCATAGGGAGCTCCACCGAAGGCCCCAGTGCCGCCGCCCGCATGCGTCAGCCACACCCAATTCGGCACACCCCTCACACGTTTCGTGGCCCCATAGGGAGCTCCACCGAAGGCCCCAGTGCCGCCGCCCGCATGCGTCAGCGGCACCCGCTCAGCCCGCACAATTCGGCACACCCCTCACACGTTTCGTGGCCCCATAGGGAGCTCCACCGAAGGCCCCAGTGCCGCCGCCCGCATGCGTCAGCCACACCCAATTCGGCACACCCCTCACACGTTTCGTGGCCCCATAGGGAGCTCCACCGAAGGCCCCAGTGCTGCCGCCCGCATGCGTCAGCCACACCCAGTTCGGCACACCCCTCACACGTTTCGTGGCCCCATAGGGAGCTCCACCGAAGGCCCCAGTGCCGCCGCCCGCATGCGTCAGCCACACCCAATTCGGCACACCCCTCACACGTTTCGTGGCCCCATAGGGAGCTCCACCGAAGGCCCCAGTGCCGCCGCCCGCATGCGTCAGCCACACCCATTCGGCACACCCCTCACACGCTTTCGTGGCCCCATAGGGAGCTCCACCGAAGGCCGCAGTGCCGCCGCCCGCATGCGTCAGCCACATCCAATTCGGCACACCCCTCACACGCTTCGTGGCCCCAGCCCGCATGCGTCAGCCACACCCATTTCGGCACACCCCTCACACGTTTCGTGGCCCCATAGGGAGCTCCACCGAAGGCCCCAGTGCCACCGCTCGCATGCGTCCCGCACACCCATTTCGGCACCTCCACCAAACACAGCGTTTCGTGGCCCCACAGGGACCTCCACCGAAGGCCCCAGTGGTGCCGCCCGCATGCGTCACCCCCACCCCAGCACAGCATTTCGTGGCCCCACAGGGAGCTCCACCGAAGGCCCCAGTGGTGCCGCCCGCATGCGCCACCCCCACCCAGCACAGCGTTTCGTGGCCCCACAGGGAGCTCCACCGACGGCCCCAGTGGTGCCGCCCGCATGCGTCACCCCCGCCCAGTACAGCGTTTCGTGGCCCCACAGGGACCTCCACCGAAGGCCCCAGTGGTGCCGCCCGCATGCATCACCCCCACCCAGCACAGCGTTTCGTGGCCCCACAGGGAGCTCCACCGAAAGCGGCACCCGCTATGCGATATCCACAACTGCACTTGGTTGGGTCCTTCGCCGGGATAATGTTTTAAGGCTTGCTGCAACTCTCAATCAGTTGATTGCGCCTCGTCCAGGGCTGGACAGCCGAGTCATGACCCGAGAGCCAAGGAGCAACGCTGAGCGGCGATAGGCCCAGGGAGGAGCGCATCAACCCCCAATCGCCCACGGATCGCCGATAAGGGGGCCCGATAGCCAACCACGCCCGGGAGCGTGCGGACTCGCTGTCGGGGGCCCATCGCTGATCCATCTGCGATGTATCGTGGATGCCAGGTCTCAAGCAGTGGCGAAGCGTCCCGGCTCGCTTATAGCCCCACCAAACAATCTTCTAATATTGTTTGTGGTCTGTATGAGATGTGATTGGAACATGTTTGGTTCATATGGTTTTGTTTGAACACATCGGGTTTATGTTTTAAGAACATTGTTTTTGTTATTAGAACATTGGTGGGTTGTGCGAAGATTTCGTGGTAGGGCTATAGGAATGCCGGGACGGTCGGTCCCTGCTCGAAGGTCGATGCTTCCCCCCTGAGGCCAGTCCCCTCCCTGTGGTTGTCCCTCAGGGGCCAATCCGTCGACTGCATTCTCGCCGCGACGTGAGATCGGCCCGCCGTGGGCACGGCATTGCCAACACACATCACACAACGAGCCCGCGATGGGCGCCGACCTGTTGTTTCGAGTCAACACGGGTGGGTCGCGGGCGGGCCGCGGGTGGTTCGCGTCGCGGGTGGATTGCGGGTGGGTCGCGTCGCGCGTTCGTCACGGATGGATGGCGGCGCGGGTGGGTCACGGGTGAGTCGACAACCATGACAGCAACAACAGCAACAGTCATTTTACACTCATGCGCGGTGCTTCCACAAGCAGCGTGCGACCATTATGATAACCATCCGCATTATGATAATCACACGCAGCATGCGACCATTGTTCTATCGCGGGGTACGCCATTCCCAGATCTCCCGCCCAATGAGGTCTTGCAAACACCTCCACAGGAATTCTTTACGCTTCGCGTATCCCCACCAGCCCATCTCACAGCAGCAACTCTTGCGAAGCATGCCGACAGTCGTGTTTTTCAGGCGTGTGTCCGCTTGGCCCCGCATATCTCCCCTGTTCCTCCTTCCTCCCGCCTCCTTGTACATCCTCCTTGTGGGGGGAGCGGGAGAAGGACGAGGCGGAGGAGGAGGGAGAGAAAGCGCTCCTCGTGATTTGAGTCGTTTGGGGTTTCTCGTCCTGGTGTGAGTCGTTCGGGCCCTTCTTCCTGGTGTGAGTCGTTCGGGCTCTTCGTGGTGTGAGTCGTTCGGGCTCTTCGTCCTGGTGTGAGTCGTTCGGGCTTCTCGTGGTGTGAGTTGTTCGGGCCCCTCATCCTGGTGTGAGTCGTTCGGGCCCCTCCTCCTGGTGTGACTCGTTCGGGCTCCTCGTGGTGTGAGTCGTTCGGGGCCCTCGTCGTGGTGTGAGTCGTTCGGGCTCCTCGTGGTGTGAGTCTTTCGGGCGCCTCGTCCTGGTGTGAGTCGTTCGGGCCCCTCCTTGTGGTGTGAGTCGTTCGGGCTCTTCGTGGTGTGAGTCGTTCGGGCCCCTCGTCCTGGTGTGAGTCGTTCGGGCTCCTTGTGGGGCCTCTTGGGGGCCTCTTGGAGCCTCGTGGGGCCTCTTGGGGGCCTCTTGGGGGCCTCTTGGGGGCCTCTTGGGGGCCTCTTGGGGCCTCTTGGGGCCTCGTGGGGCCTCTTGGGGGCCTCTTGGGGGCCTCTTGGGGGCCTCTTGGGGGCCTCGTGGGGCCTCTTGGGGGCCTCTTGGGGGCCTCTTGGGGCTTGGGGCCGCTTGGGGGCCTTTTGGGGGGCCTCTTGGAGGCCTCTTGGGAGCCTCCTGGGGGCCTCTTGGGGCCATCTTGGGGCCTCTTGCGACTTCCTCAGAAGCGCAAATGAGAGCTGCCCCCTGAGAAGGACAACATGAGCCCAACACCTTCGTAAAATCAATGATTTTGCTATGAGGGAAGATGAGCGCGGCCCCCTTCAGAAGG